TATGAAAAATGAAAATATGCTACTTGCCAAGAGCTCTTTAGGTATGTAATTTAAGAATAAAATCAGAAATATAAAAATATATTAAATTAATAAGAAGACAAGTAAACCCACATTTCCAGAGCGCTTAACTTACTCATTCGAATATTTTGTTCAGCGAAATTTTACGAAAAATCCCTTTGGATTTCTGCGGTTTTTTTTCTTTTTGGCCTGGTCTAAATGGAAAAGCTGTGTATTCTCCTCGTCTTTCTGGGCTTACCACATAGGTGGAATAGACTAAAAAAGAACTATGCTGAAATCTACTGGTTTTTCTTTTGGCTTTTTACTATTTATTCTGAGCTGCGGTTTGAGATTGCAAAAAAGAGAAAAACTAAGGCGAAATCCCCATTAAGCCACAGAAAAAGCGCACGAAGTGAACACTTGAACATAATGAAATGAAACAAAATTAACATCGCAAAGCGTTAAGTGCCGTCGAAGTTTGTAATGATGAACCAGATGATGATAATGATGTTATAGGGGTGGCAGATTGTAAACAGAAATGTTGCCAACTTTCACCGTGCCAAGGACCTCGCGTTGCCCCTGCATCGTTTGCATAATTTCCTTTTTCCCATGCTAAGAAAGTCGCAAAGTGGGTTATGCGTTTTCGTGGATTTTCTTTAACAACGAGATAGAAACATGGATTGAAAGTAATTCTCATTGTAAGTCAGTTTTAAAAAATGTATATAATTTCCAGTCTGTTTTCTTAAGAAACTGACATGTCTGTGAACTTTTTGGCAGACAAAGACAAGCATAAAGTCTGAATATTTTCTCTCTGATTTCATTATTGCTAATTAGCCTGTGTGCAAGTTTAATCTCCGTTGCCCTCAATAATCATTACCAGAAGCCAGTTAAGCTGATTAAGTCTAATGAACTATCCAGCTGTCTCTTAGTGTATAATTTCCACTTGACATGCTGCACTTTCCAGAAGAGCATTTAAAACAAGACAAAACCATAATCTCTACTCGTATATTCCAATTTTGCACCCCATTCAGGATATTATTATTAAGGGGCCATAAAAGACGAGAGCTGAATGATTTGACAAAAGCCTGATTATAAGACCTAGGATAGGGCCAAGGATACTGGCTTTCTCAGCTCGTCTAACACGCAATTGTTAATAGCCATCCAGTTGGCTTTTCTAAAGAGCCTTGTTATTTATTACGTCTCCTTGAAAACACCTTTAATTTGATCATGACTGGGCATTATAAAGGGCTTTTGTCGGTTCTGGTTTGACGGATTACATGCCATCTAATCGATTATGGCATCGACATGATTATACTCTAAATTTGAATATAAGTTACAGAGACAGAAAAATGTTTACTTTTATCAACAATTTTTAGTTAATCTTAAAAAGGGTTCTAAATTCAATTTTAACTCCCCAATGCACATATTTTCCGAATGGATTAACCCACTGAGAACATTACAACCAAATCAAATCCATAAACAACTCAAACTATATTTGAAAAACAAGCACTTAAACTTACTGAAGTGCATATACGAGTACTTAGTTTATTTTTGGCTTTTCAATGTAAAAAACTCTGCGCAATAATGTCGCTCAAGCTCACTGCGTAGATGGTTATTTTTTGATCAATAAACTTTAATCAGCAAATGCAAAGCAGTATTAAAAGCTGTCAAAGTGTAAACACCAATAAAAAGCAGTTAACCCACAGCTCAATTTATCCGCTAGATAAGATGCGATGAACAGAAAAAATTCAAAGAAATTTTTTTACTTTGAGCGAAGGGGGGAGAACCATTTAAATTACATTTTCGTGGTTAAGGCAAGTTCTTATAAAGAGTTTAAGTAGAAAAGAAAAAGAAGCAAAGGGGGTCTAAAGAAAATGCCAAGAAGCTTATGTAATCAAACATAAATCTGAATTGTGGCGTAACCATAACTTGGCTGTCATTTGCCAGAAACAAAAACCGTCAAATCCCGTTGGGGGTGTCGCCCAAGTTATGGCCGTATCTGATTTATCTGAAGTATTTCTTTTCCCTAGAACTGCTTTCTGCCAGCGAGCGGTTTTTGTATAACAAATGTTTGCGGTTTCAATTGAGTGGCCAACCAGATGTCGGAAAATATGGTATCGCATCTCAGGTTGCACAAGTAATCCATGCTTTTCCTGAATGACCTGCAAAGCCATTTTCCTGATTGCTGTCAAATAGATTACGAGTGTATGCAAAGCGTAAACTGAATGGACGGTGGCTCCTTGCGGAAAAATGTCCGGTAAATCGACTGGACACTCCCTAAAGCATTTTCCTATATATATATGGTTAATATATATATATATATCTACCTTTATGATTAATTGGTGTCCAGCTTGGATGGACATGGTCTTTTGACAGGTGTCGCCAGGATGTCGAAGCCCGCTGTTTTAGCGACCCGCCATAAAAATAAAAGGGGAGCTCTTGTGATTTATTATAGACTATTTCGTGTCTGTCTTTATGGTGGAAATAAAGTAGCAAAAATAAAAAGAAAAAATAGGAATGGAAAACTCAATAACAAATCGTCTTTCTCGCTTGGCTGTATCTGTGCGCTTTTTCCGGTGAAAATTTAAGATAAAAATTTAATATTTTTCTTACCTGCGGCATTTTATGAAAAAATGAAATAAATTATGCCAAAACATCTGCTCTTTGTTCTGCACCTTTGAGCCTTCATTTCAAGTGCAAGTCATTCAGGATGAAAATTAAACTCAAACTGACATTCAGAAATGTGCCTGTCAGCGGTGTTAAAGAAATTTATATGAAGACTTTTGGGCATGAAAATGTGAATAATTTATAAAATAATGCATTAGTATAAGTAGGCAGAAGAATAAACTATAAGCATGGCATTTTAATTTAATATTAATATTGGAAAAGAAGAAAACACTCAAAAGTATGCTAGGGTTTTGTGCAACAAAAATGTCTTTGCTTTAATTATCGCCTTTAAATATATATTAACATAGATTTAACTTTATTATTATTTATTTTTATAGTTAGAAAAGTTTCTTAACTTTGTTTTCTTACATATTTTTAAAGGTGACCTTTACAGTAATAAACTTTTCTGTACAGTTCATTTAATATTCCCAAAGCCATGTAAATCTTAAAGTGAATCAAATTAAAGTTGACAGCCATGATATCAAACTTGGTCCTAAAGGACATTCATATGAAATTCAATGAAAATTCACTTACAGTTTCTTGACCCAGGCGACAGTTGTCGTCCCTTAGATTTCCAACTGAGTTGAGAGTTCGTTTTGGATTATGCTAATAATCTTTATTCGACATTTTCAGACGAGTTCAGTTGGGTTCACTCATTGGGTTTTTCTTGCTTTCACTTGTGTTTCGGGAGCATGTAATTGCAATGATTGTTATTTGATTTTTTCTTTATTAGCCGGTCCTTAACGGTCGTTGGGCTGTGGAACAAAGGTCTTATTGTTGAGCAGGCATCAGTTTCGTTTATGGTTATAAGTTACTGGGCCTCGTGAGCCATCAATTTTGATGGGTAAAGCCCACGCAGGCACATTTTGCTCGAGATGAGCTTCAAATGCCGGAAAAACTGTCACCCATCATCGAGGTTAACGTTGCGTGTCCACAGCTAAAGCATCATTTCACATTTCTCCTTTTGGGTATCATTATACTCCTCAATATATATATATATATATATATATATAAGTACGCACATGTTTGACAATCTGGCAATCTGCTTACCTCAAGAGTTTTCCGGCCAACTTTTCCATTATCCAAGACGGGCAAAAAAAAGTTTGGCTTATTCGATACTCGTATACCGTATCACCTGTTAATCTGCAAAAAGCATTTACCCGCACATTGAATATTATATGTGTATATGCCACATAAGGGTTGATCGGGCCAAGTTTGATGATGCGAAAGGATTTCTTTGGTTTGCCATTCATTTTTGTAGCATACATTTTGGGGCTGATTCTCTGTTTGTTTTGCCTCTTTGGTTATTTTACATTTGCCATGCCGTAAATATGTGTTAACTGATGTGTCTACAACCTTTTGTTTTCATTGAGTTCATTTTTCGTATAAGTGAAATTAATGATGTTAATTAAAAACACAGCATATTTATGACGGTTATTCATAGGCCAACTAATGAAAAGAAAAAACTGCCATTTGACAATAAGTTTACCAAGCCCTGACTGGTTTACTAAGCTGTTAATTGGCTAATTAATTACAGGCAATCTATTTAAATCCAATTATAATAAACTAAAGCTGTCATATATGTTTTATTGATTTTTTTCTAAAATCAAAGAACCAAAAACTCAACATTTAATTATGTTAAAAACCAATCACAAAATTCAATAAACAAAATGTTTACTTGCCTAGCACAATATTAGCCAAGGCAATTAATTTTTTTATTGTTGTTTTTTTTTTTTAATTTTTTTACCATGTAAACAATAAAGATAATGTGTCTGTGTATGCGTTATACTAACAAACCTGTTGGAAAAGCAAACGAAGTCATTGACTGATGGCTGATGGTAAATGCCTGATGGTAATTGATATCCCCACCATATGGCGGGAATTTGAATAAAAGCACGAACACCCCCTACACAAATATTGATAGGGTGTATTGTACTTTTAAGAGGAATGGGTGCCTGGAATGTATTGTTAAATATTTATTTATAGCTGAGTTTGTCTATCAATTTGCGGAGCTTTTCTTCGCTGTTATTAAAGAGAAATTAGAAATTTTAAGCACCTAAAAACCTTTTTCTTATATTTTAATAAGTTTAAATATAAAGCTAAGTGGCAGCCGTTAGAAAAATTCACTTTATAAATGTAAAATCAAGCAAATGTCAAAACCAAACATAAAACTAAAAAGTTCTCCCAAAGTAATAACCCTTTTGTACTGGGTATTTCGAAGTCGAATTTACTTTTCTAATCATCACTTACTTTTATTAACTTGTCGCCTGAAATTGATATTTATCAGATTTCTAAAAAAGTTGTTTATTTGTCTCCTCTTTACTTCTTTTTTTTAGCAGGTTCTTGTGGCGCCATTTATTTGCATAATTAAAGTCCGTCGGTTAGATGGTGGGCGAGATTAGGAGTCGCTCAGATTATGGCAGGTAAGTCACGGTCTATTTATATGCGATTTTTTTTTTACTGGGAATGGGGCTAAAAGAGTCGAGAAACAGGAGGAAGGGAGGCCTAATTTGCATTGCAAATCGAATCGATGTAGTTTGAAAGCGGTTAACAAATTTATGCGACTGGCGCATGCTAGAAATCTTTCTCTGTCTGCTCAATTGATTGGGTTTGGCTTCGTTAAGTTTTTGCCACCCAGTTTTCTGCATTCCACTAAGGGGGGAATTCCTGATCGAGATAAACTTTGTTTTTGGCAGCTCAGCAGAGCTGAAAACAGCTGTCCCCAAGATGCTGGGCTGGCTGAGCTGGCTGAGCTGGCTGGGCTGGGTGCTCTAAGACGGCAGTCGTAAAAGCGCTCGTAAAATCCCATTGTAAGAGACATAAAAAACCTAAACCACGCAAACAAATTAATTGCTAGGGTCTGCCAATAAACTTGCCCAAGAGGAACTACACCAACTATTTACCAATTAAGGAATAATTAGTGTTGCGGTAATAGTGGAATATATATTATATTCTTAGCTTCTATTTATTATTTCATAGTGAAATTAGGGATGAGGGACAAACTGGCTAGCTTTTTGTAATTAAAAAAGATTCTACAAGCTGCAGAAGTTTGTTTGTCTGGATTTGGTTATAACATAAGTGGTTTTGATGGGCCGGAAATAAGTTTTTCTGGTTAGCCAAATTGCAAAATAATTGCTGTCTGATAAGACAACCCTAAAAAATGTGGGTAACCTTTAAATATCAAAAGTTTTCAATATCAAAAGTTTTTGTATATTAACTTTTTTATCTTTCGCCTGAGTTTAATAGGGAAAAAGTTATCAGGCGGAATTTTGTCTCTGGTTAAATGTCCATTTTAACAGGTCCTTTGTGTAATATGAAGAAAACAAAAATATTTATTTTACCGATAATGGCTATTACCATTATACTCATTAATTTTAATTGGGAAATAAAGCATTTTTTTGCTTTTTAATTGAAATGATTTTTATATTTGTCAACATTTCTCTTTTGTAAGGTCAATGAAATTAATTAAGTAGAAAAATAAATACTTTCGTGGCCAATGAAATATTAATATTGCACATTAAAGTGTCAAAGGGTCATTATAGAAATATTTAAAGGGAAATTATCAAGTGGAAAATCTGTTGGCTCAAAAATGAGAACAAACTTGAACTTGCCTTGACAAAAAAAAGTTTGTTTTGACTTCTTTAAAGCTCAAGTTGAGACTTTGCCTTCTTGATTGCAAATTTTAGAGGCGAATTCTGTCCCTAACGTCACTTGGGTTGGCCATAAAAAAAAGTGCGGAAGCGTATAGGATAAGCACGGTCCATATCCAACGATATGAACACGTTTTTACGACCCCGTCCCGGCAATTTATTTCACTTGGCTAGCTTTGGAGTGCTGTTGTTTCTGTTTTTGTGTGTATTTCCCTTAGGACAATTTGCATTTCCCATGTGCACTTATCTGAAATGCATTTATGACGGGGCATATAATGCAAATATGTAATATCGCCAAAGCTTTAACTTTGGCATTGACATTGGCATTGACTTTAAGCCCGTGGATCAATGGTGCGGGTTTTGCCTATCGCTAGATAACAATATTGCATCTCTCAAGTACTAGAGGAAACCTCTAAGAACAGTCGCAACTCGAGAGCTGGGCAAACACACTTCTGGGCATCCTTGTGCATCAGAATGAGATTCCGCTGGGTACGATAACTTTGGCATATGACTTGATAATCCACTTATTATCAAATTGTCCTTGGTAAGAGAGAGGGAAGATTGCGGCGAACAGGCGAATGACCAGAAAAACTTCCTCGTCGTTGGGCTAAAAAAAAAAAAGAAGAAGAAACTTTACATGACTTTAGTTAAGTTACACAAGTTTAGTTGAGCTTCGGGCTTTGCATCTGCCACCAAAATGCGGCAAAGTTTTGTGCACTTCACAACGGGAAATCCACTTCCGGCAGCACAAAACTCATCAGAGCGCATAAATTCCCAAAACAAGAGGGGATCTTTATAAATTAAATAATAAAATAATTTAAAGGGAATTTTTAGATAATTAAAATCATGGTTCCTCTTTTTCTTTTGTTAAATTTTCCTGAAATCAGTGCGTTGTTATTAAAAAGATATTTTGCGGGATAATTGCACGTTTATTAAATTATCAAAAATCATTTTCTCACATGTTTCTGCAAAAGAGTCACATAGCCAAAAATAATAATTAAATTACAACTTAGCGGAAGTTTTAGTTGGCTCAAATTTCTGCTTATTGGCGAGAATTCAGGGAAAATGAAAGCCATTTTATAAGTCCAGGAAATTAATTACTTTATCACAGCCATTTAATTGGGAAAGTATTATATTTCCGTTTTTGTTATTAAATTTGCAAGCTTAAAATCTTAGTATTCATTTCATTTTTAGTTATTAACTAAATTAAAGATAGTCAGAGTTACCTATAATACAAAAATAATTCTAACCCCAAACTAAAACGGAAAAGTATACATCTTATAAATAGGCAGTTATTTTCCCAAAATATTGCAAAGATAGTTAAAAGCTTTGTTATTTTCATTTAACTTATAGTTTGTTTAGAATTTATTTAGGCATTTTTAGTTAAGGTAAGTCAGGTGGTACAGGTGGGGAAGCTTAAAAGTGGGCCACAAAGGTGTTGGGGTCAATCACGCGGGCCACCTCCCAGGGGTGGACAACCGAAGGTCCTGGAATGCGATTGTAGGCATCTGAAAAAGGAGATGAAAGAATGGTAAGGAGAAGGTCAAGCTGGTGACAGTTCCTGTTAACTATTTCTCCTTCCAACTTACCGATTATCTTTTGGATGGCCGTCTGGGCATCCAGGAGCTGGGGTGGGGCGGGAGCAGCGCTGACAAGGATCAGGCAGATGGCAATGAAGGCGATGGCAGCAGCAAGGATTTTCGACATTCTGGTGCTTTGGCTTTTGGGTTTGGTTGGTGTTCTAGAGCTTAGATTGGAGTCTAATTGAAACCGCTGCGACCGCAGCTATTTATACTCGACAGAAGTTGGTATGAATGAGAAAGGCCAGAGCATCGTGATGAAAAGAGAAGGAAGCTTTGGGATGAGCAGCTTGTTCTAAGCCAGCTGTTAAGAAATTTAATTTCTTGTTTTGGTTTCGCTGCCAACTTATTTCTATGGCGATATATGTATAATCTGGGGAATGTCCGCACTCTTTGACGGGCAAACAAGTTTCGCAAAAGAACAAACGATTTCGATTTGGAATTTTTAAACACCTTAAAGGAAAGCATAACAATGCAGAATAATTTTCAAAAAATTAAATGCATATATGATAATCTCTTTGAATATTAATAGTTTGGCTAAAGGTTAAGTTTGTGGGTTTAATAGGTGGATTTTTGTTTAAAGATCTTTGGAAAAAAAGTGTATAATTGGAGGAAAAATGTGGTATTAATCGTATTTGGAATTTATATTTAGATTATCTTTTCTTCTGTAAGTTAATATATATAAAAAATTAACCTTTCCATTCTTAATTATCTATTCAATAACTTATTTAACTTATGATTTTTCTACTAATAAAAATATATTTTTAAATTGAAATAGCTTACTGACAACTTTTAGCTTAAACTAGTTTTATTATTAAGTCCCTACTTAATTTTCTCATATTTCCCAATACTGGGTATCTCTTAGTCGTAACCAAATATCCATCTGGAATTTCTACATATTCGTTTGTGTTTTTCTTGAATATATTTGCCATAACACAAATGTTTTGCATATGACAGTTCATTGTACGAATGTGTGGTTAAAAAATCTCTGTTTATGTTTTGTTCTGTGATCTTTTCTTTTCTGTTTTTTTATTATTTGTTGTTTGGCAGACGTTTTGGGCATTTCCAACTACCTCGAAAAATATGTCGGCCAAGATGAAAGAACAAAAAGAAAAAAAAATGAGAGAATCTTTTGGTTATTTGTCGCCATTTGCCATTGGATTTTTGATGCTGATTTATAAACAAACCGGTTGGCTTAATTTGCCGCTTGAACGCCGGCCAAAAGAAAGTAAAATTTTTGATATTTCTTGTCGGTTTCATAAATTACTTCAACTTGGGAATTCCTTCTTCAGCATTGGCGGCAAATTAAAACACAAAAAAGCCAAATTCTTTGACGGCGTCTGGCGATGTGTTTAAAATTTGATTTGAATTTAAATTTAGACCTTAAAACGGAAGGAGGTGGGAGCTCTAATTGTGGGCCATATTTAGTAATCAGTTGAAGACGTGTATGGCCAAAAAACAGACGTGTAATGCTAATGCAGACACGTGTCCTATTGACAAGATTCTTAAAAAGAAAGGTACGAATTTTTTTGTCCTAATAAGTGCGTGTCTGCCTGGAGGATAGAAATCCGTTCTAGGGAGGAAAATTCTACGTCTGACACATGCCAATTGTTCACGGAAATGTGTTTGCCTTTCGACGACGGTGGATTGGGTGGGATGGCTAATGAGGCACCCGTAAAGCCTCTTATCTATACGTTTATTGGCCTGTCCGACCCGCAAATAATTGTGATCTATGGCATCGAGCGAGTGCGAGTTCATATTAATAACACTCTGAGCCCGCTACTTAGTTCTATTCATAATTTGTATTTTTTCCCGTATTTATCTAGTCGTTCAATTTGGGTCGTGCGCAAATCAGACTCCCATAAGGCACCCTATTCATGGTAATACATATATATAGATATAGATATATATTAGCTTTTGTGTATTTAAAGCCCCAAGAAAAGTGTAGGAAACGAGTGAAAATGGCTAAAGAAGAGCTAAGCGTAAACATGTTACCCCAGGGCTTTTTAAATTATATGCTAATAAATTAGTATTTTCCTTCATGGACTTCCTATCTCATGGGATATTATGATGCTGCTGCTCAAAAGTGATATGTGTGTGTATACACATGCCCCTTTTTATAATTCTATTTATTGTTTGCTACGCCCCCCAAGGCAGCTACACGTTGCGTATGCGTAATATATGAACGGATTATGCGAAAAATTTAGATATGGGCTAGCATTAAAGCTATACAATTTCACACCAGCTTTATAATTTGATGAATGTTTTATAAACGACAAGAACCATTAGCGTACAAGAGGCAACCTATGAAATTGGAGACCTAAAGAAACAAAAACAAAGCTTCTTAACAAGAAAAACAAACAAACAAATAACAGCTAGCTGATACGCAAATTCCCCAGCATAAAGATAAATGATTGTACATACGTACATAATTACGAGATTCAGTTGGTTGTAATTAATTCAGCGTAACATGTCGCTCTTTCCACAAAAGGCTAGGATCTGCCATGAAAATATGTTCTAGTTAATTATTAACAAGTACAGCTACTTGATGTTGATTAATCGACTGGAGTGTGTCAATATTTTCTTAGAATACTCACTGATGCATTTTAATTGGATTTCAGAGATGATAGACAAAATCCTCTTGTTAAATTCAGACTTTAAGTACATATTTGTAAAGTTCATATATACGTGTCGATTTAGGACCGCAAATTAGATTTATTACCTTGACAGAAACGTGCCCGTATTGATGGATCAGACACTCAGCTGGCAGGTGAAAATCCCATTGTGGAAAAGTTAATTTCGTTGCCAACTTGCCAGGCCAGCATTAAAAGTTTTCCCTCTAATAATAAGTTAAGAAACTCTCCCGAGGCCAAGATGTATGTTAATAGCATCACCCTGGTCACGGCCACAGCCACTTAACAATAATCTATCGATTTCACGTAAATTTGAGTATTTGAATGAACTTAGCAATTCAATTTCCGAGAACCAACAAGTTTGCGATACACACGAAATAAGAAGGCAATCAGCGCTGACTATGTAACTTGAAAAGCAGGACTAACCAACTTGGACAAGGCAGGACTGTCGAAATAGGTGAAAAATTACAAATTTCCTACTTTTTAAAATATTTAAACTTGTTTTCCTTTCACAGCAGCTTTTAAAGTCTTTTAACTACTACAAAGTCTTTTTGTTTCCTTTAATCGTGCACTTAGTGCTTTCATTTTCCTTTTTTAACTCTTTAAATCTTTAGTAAGCTTTACTAGGACTCTGTGAAGTGCAAAACTTTGCCATTTGGCAATCAGAATAAATCGACCAAAATAAGTTAAGTTTTAGCTTATAAATTAACTTCGAGAAACGAAAACATATTCATACAGGACATGTTTTTAGTACAGAAAAAAACGACAAAATGCCAGCACTGCCTTACAAATCAACTCATCTAATTAACTCATGAAAAACGACAAGCTGAGAGAAGCCGCATTTGAATCTGTATTTACGCTTTTACCTTTAAATACAAGATTAAATTGCAAAATCGGTTTTGCCTTGCTGATGTACGATAATTACATAAGCTAAATGAATTAAGCAATCATTTAAAGTAAAGTGAAGTTTAATTAATTATTGTGGTAAAGTATTATTCCACTAAATTGGGGCATATGTGGGAAAATCAAGGTATTAAGAAGTTAATTGAATATTTTTTACACATTTAACCACCTGCAAATGGAATCTCATTAATTAAAAATTCTTCTTGTCTGTGAAAATTCGAATTATAAAAACGACGTTTAATTTTTGTGCACATAATGTTTTAATTATACAATTTAATTTGTGTCAGCAGTGATTATCTTTTTAGTACTTAACAAGAACACAGGTTGCCTTGGTGTTAGGGGACTTTGGTGACATCTTGATAAAATGGCTTTGGTTTTATTATACCCGGTGCTATTAAGATAAGAGGGTATATTATGTTCTGAATAAAGTTTTCAACGGAGGGAGAAAAAATGAAATTTCTTTAAGGAATTTGGTATCTCAAAGTTCCTCACTTATATCACTTACATTACTTAAAATGAATTAAAAAAAATTCTTCTAAAAAGTCCTTACCATATGTGTTTTTTAAGCAAAATCACTCAGGAGTTTATTTTGTGTTAAATGTGTAATTAACTTTTGAGAAGAATTCCCTTTAAGCCATTGAAAACCTTTAAGGTCTGTTCTATCGCCGTAAACTCACCTGTTCACAGAATTTACAAAATGATGTTTAGAATTTAATGCAAGGAAATGGGTGCGTAGGCATGGGTGTAGGTGGGTAAAGTATATTCAACTACCTTGATAAGTACAGGAACATATATGTATATACATAAGGTATATGCACTGTTTCACAGGAGGCTTAAGCGTGCGCCAAGGAGCATATGCTGGATGTTTGTCTTTGGGATGCGGCGTTCATGCATAATTAATCACCGAGTGACGCCGCCGGGAGTTGAATTGTGTCGTGTTGTATGTGCCATTTGACATGGCCGTGCTTTTTTATCACTGCCACAGACGCCTAGCCGCTATATTTATCTTATTTTTACTTGGATTTTCCCTTGCCAATGTCGCTGCAATCTGTCGTCATAAACGATTCGGTCCAAGCCACGTTAACAGGACGTGAAAATGGTAAAAGGAAAGGAAAGGACCAGCATGGAAGTAACACCCAAGCTGGCAAAACGATGTTAATGTCAAGTAGATCCCCGAGCACGTCTTGCTGCGATAATTGTTGACGTAAATCATGCCGAAGAGCAACAGAAATAAGTCCCCAGACAGACACATATCCACCAAGAGAAACAAAAGGGTTTCTTTTTAAATTTATTTCTAGGATTACATTAAGTACACATGCTGTTAAAGGTAATTTAAAAATCTTTACTTGGGCATAGTTGGAAAAAAAAGATAACAAAATTCATATCGAAAGTGAAAAAGTTTCTGAAACAGACATTAGAATTAAAAGTCATTGAAAATATGGTAAAAAACAAAAACATTACTAAATGAAAAGCCATAATTATAGGTAGCTATTTCTAGCAGTGTAGCACCTTAAATAATGGAAAGTGACATACGGAAAATCGGACGCATTAGCGCAAGCATTTTCCTTGGTAGCCACGCCACTTAATTGAAATAAATATTGGGCTCTTGTCATTCGCGTCTTTTCCTTTCTGTTTCTTTTTGTTAGATTGATATTTTGAGGTGGCACTTTATTGAAATGTGTTTGTTTATTTGAAGGCAAAAACACAAACAAAGTGGCTGGCATTCTTGTAGCGGGAATTGATTTAAATGGAAATATGTACGCGCCATTTGGGGACTTTTTGAGGGGTTTTGGAAATTGTAAAAGCCAGACTAAGTGCTACGGAAGAAGGAAAACACAAAGTGTTGAATGGTTGATGTTCAAATGTAAGAACGTATTTCTCAAATTAATGCGCACAACAGCGGGTGGAAAAATTATGCAAATCACGTAATTTTTATTTCACCGTGTTGAAAAGTCAAGACGACACGCTTTTTGTTTCAAGCGGATACTTTTGAGTGGGTGGGTGGTTATATATACGAAGGGCTATGCCTTTGTAGCCCACTTTTATTGCAAACACGCGCGTAGGTACCTTTTTTAAAAAGGAATCAAAAGGTACTATTAAAATTTGGGTTTAACTTTTTTGCATTTCCTTAAAGTTTTATGATTTTGTGGCATTTTAAAAGATGTTTTTGCATATGTTTTTACCAGAAACCCGTTTTCTTTACTTTTCAAATCACGCGCCAGAAGTGCAACACTGGGCTTCCTATCGATAGGCAGTGGGCATGCGCAGAAGTATCGATAGTCGATGACAAACAGCTGTGTACCTATACTTATCCAATATGGCTGCAAGTAAAAAAATTGTAACGCTGTGAAAAATTGCAACTCAAATTGCATTTTCTACTTGATTATTTGTCAGAAAAGTGCCAGGAATGTGAAATTGTGTAAGCGGAAGTGGAAAACCCCCGAAAAAACAAGTGCGCGCAAAGAAATCTCAGCGAAAAAGTGAAAAACGCAAAAGTCGCCGGTGCCCCGCCAAAAAAAGGAAGACTCCCCCGCCCCTCAGAAAAAAAAAAACATTTCTCTCTGGAAATAAGAAAAATAAACGAAGAATGGAAGCCGACATAACGCCCTTGGCAGAAACAAATGGAGAGCAGCGCGAAAATCCTCAAGAAAATGCTCCGAACCCAGAGCAACAGCCAACGGATTTAGCTAAAACCCTGGGTTCCGCTGAAGATGGCGTCTCCGGGACAGTGGGACAGATAATAGATTACCTCGAGGTGCGGCAAGATTGAGCAACTACTTAAAACGCAAAACAATTTATTTACAAACATATATATATCTTATTTTCCAGGACAATGCCGGTGCAAGTGCCGATCAGGACGCTGAAATGGGCGAGGCTGAGTATCTGGATGGGGAAGTGCCGCCGGACGATGAAAGTAAAGGCGAGAAAGGCAATGAAAACAAGGAAGCAGGCAAAAAAAATGATTTAGCAGATACTGCAGTTGAAGATGCAGCACCTAGAGAAAAATCAGTTGAGGAAAAAGAAAAAAATATTGATCAGGAGAAAGAAGCTGTTCACATAGATGAAAAGGATGGTAGCGAAGACAAGCTAGAAGATGATGACGCATCAGCCGAAAAGGATGGTGAAGAGGGAGACCAAGAAGATGAAGAAGATGGAGCTGAGAAGACTGGAGATGAAGAGGACGAAGCCATTGAAGATGGTGATGAACCCATGGAAGACGACGAGGATCCCACCGAAGAGACCGAGGAAGTTGAGCAAGAGTTCGAAACCGCCACCGATGCAGAAGGTGAACTAATCACTGGCGATGAACCCGGTGACCTAGGGGAACCCATACGGGAGCGCAGAAAGGAAGAGCCCGTAGACGAGAACCAATGCCGCGTCTGCACCAGCAAGGAAGAGCTAGTCTGTTTGTTTAAAAAGCAAATCGATGCCACGCCCGCGGACATGCTGCTGGTCATCTGTCCCAGTGTCTCGATTTTGCCCAAGGACTTTATGCCGCAGTTCATATGCACCAAGTGCATGGGCAGCCTCACCATTGCCATACAGCTGAGGAAGCAGCTGGAGTCCACGGACCAGGATCTACGCAAGCGCCTGTCCAGAAGCAAGAACAAAGTGCGGAGGCCTCGTGGCTATGTGGTCATCGATGCACCCGTCACTGATTCCAGCGAGGACGAAGATGAACTTGACGATGAATTTAAGGTATCCGATGTGGCCGGAACCACAAGTCCAGATAGCGATTCTGGTGATTCCGACGATTCCGATGAGAAGAGAAAAGAGAAAAAGAAACCCGGCCCACGTGGGCGTCCTCGAAAAACGCCGCTGAAGAGAGGCACGGATAGTGATGGTGAGCCTTCTAGTGCCCAGAAGAAGAAATACCAGCCATCGTCGGCAGCTTCCATGGGTCCATTCGAGTGCCCCAACTGCGACTTGACGTTCTCGCGCAAACAATCTTATGTGTTGCACCGAAAGACCCACGAAAGGATAGAGCATGCTTGTCCCATTTGTGGCAAGAAGTTTAAGGTGGAATGGGCCTACAAAACGCACATGCAACGGCACGAACAAGAGCGAGCTCACTTCCGCTGCGAGCTTTGCCCCAAGATATTCCGCCTGCGAGCGGAATTGAAACACCATATGGCCCAGCGGCATGATGAGCATGGATTCATATACGAGTGCAAGCGCTGCCAGCGAACCTTCCTTACCCAGCAGCGATTGCAGCGTCATCAGGCCATCGGCTGTCAGCGGCACAAGGAGGAGGCATCGGTTCGTGTCAAGGAGGAACATCCGCGTTTTAAGCAGGAATCGCGCTATAAGGACGATCGTCACTCCCAAGGGAACAATGTGAGCAAACGTCGTCCCGGAGAAGGACGGGATCTTTTTAAGGCGGTGGCCCCACCAACCACCACCTATTGGAGCGATAGCTTCTCGGACTAAATGCAAAGGTGCGGCGGCTTACGTATGGATTTCCGTTTTCATCAACGATTTTAAGTTTTATTAGCTGTAGGAAGAATTCAGTGCAAATAAATCACATTTGTAACAAATACAAAATAAAATAAGCAGAAGTTCCAAATACTTGTAAACTTCTCCAACTAAATATGTAAGTAAGCATAAAATGAAATAAAAAGCTCGATTAAAGGCAAATTGAGAGTTACTGACTTTGATTTGATAATGGTATTTCACACACAAGGGTTTTGTTTACTTATTTGATTTTATTTTAATCATTCAAGTGAAATGAAAGCCATTGTAAAATAAATTATTTTCATGCATATCTGTGAATACTAATTGATTAATGGGAAAAATGCATTAAATACAAGCATGTGGATCAATAATTTCATTACAACAAGCAAGCATGATTTATGTTGCCTAAAGAGCTTATGATTGCTTTCAAGCCGTGGAATTATTGTGTAAAATATTTATATTAAATAAGATTGCGACTACAAGGACATCATAACATGCCGCAACGCAGCTTAGTGACCCAAAATGGTTTCCTTTGAATCCTTTTTAATTGGACGTCAAAGCCCTTGTGGTTTACGAAATGGCAGCGTTTAATGTCGTTCTGGAGGACAACCAACTGCATTTTAGCACAATCATGGCCATCATTTAGCCGGCTAATGTTTATAATTTCGCTGGCAGACCCTAACTATGAGTGTTTAACTGCTAGGATTAAATCAACCACCACACGCTAGTGGGGTACAACGTTGTGACCCGAAACAAAATTGCAACTAATATGGGTCTGTACATCCGCAGAAATTTAATATACACTTTTTTTTGGTTTTATTTGAAAAAAGTTAACTTATTGGGCCATAAACTATGAATTTAAATTACAAAATTTGGATGTTTTATAATTTTTATGAGAGAAGTTGGTAGTTACTGAAGTTTAAAATGAAACTTTGTAGGTATCTTGACACTTGCATTTTGTGAACTTCTCAAAGTTTAATCAAGAAAAAAAAGTTTTTGGGTGTTGGAGGCTTTTTCAAAAATAAATATAATGCATAAAAATTCATAAATCCTTGAGTTTATAGTTATTATATTTTGGCCCAACTTAGTTAAGTTAAGATTTACCAAACATTTGTTCTTAATTTTAGAAGATTATTCATAAAAATCGATTTGTGTTGTTTTAATATTATTTTTATAACATGTTCTTAAAAGAAAGTTAAATCTGTTATATTTAAATTTTTAAAAATTTTGACTTCTAAGCAGTTTAAATATTTAGTATGCCTTCTTCTTAGGGAATTAACACTCCATATTTAATTTTTTAATCAATAAGACCTTCATAAAAACATCTTTAAAGCCTTGGTTTGATTACAAATTTACGATCTGGGATAAAAGCTGTTTAAATTAGCACTCCTTTCGTTCCTTATACCCATTTAATATTCTCCCCCAGCTCTAGAACAATTGCGTCCAAATCCTTGGGCCAAAAAGATTAAATTGAAATTTAAAGGCAGTCGCAATGGGTTGACTTTAACATTTATTTACAAAGCAATGGAGGGGAATATGTTTGTTGCTCAGGGATTCCGATGCAAATTCCGATTTTCTGGGAATGCTCTAATGCATAGCAAGGATATTTTGTTAGTCCTGCAGCTCACGTTCGTGCCTCATTAGAAGTGGTGAATGGAGTGGTACGACGGCAGGTGATATGACACCGAGGATATCGGATGGTGGGCAATCAGTGGGGCGTGGGCAATGAGCGGTGCATGCGAGATTATGGGGGCATGGTGCACCACCGTCGGAGCGGCAATGTAATGGGAATGGGTTACCAAGGGGGCGTGGTAGCCCAAACCCAATGACAAGCCTCGTTTGGCCTTCACAGATGACTCTTGCTGCTCCTCGGCAACGGGAGCGGGTGCGGCCAGGATACAGGCAAAGCTGGCAATAAGCAGAAGCAACTGTTGCGTTTGCAGGAATTTTCCATTAGCGTTTAACGAGGAAAAGCAAAGGAGAAAAGAAAAATGTGGAAATATTAGAAATTCTTCATAAATCGCGCAAATTCATCAACTCTTTCAAATTATTAACTCAACTATGTTAGAATAGGTATAGCTTACAGTGAATTTCATTTTGGTTGGTCTAAAGTATATGATTTATGATCGGACTTGACTTGAAGTTGTTTCAACAACACTGGCTCTAATTCAACTAACGATGCTGGCAGTCAGAATGAACTTATTTATATACCAATCGGATTGTTTAGAAACTCACTCAAAACTAAGTCGAACGCACTCATTAGGCAGAAACTATTTAGGCCCAAAAATAAAGTAAAAATCGCACAAGACACGCATCGAGAAAAATAAATGCCCACATCAAGCCAAAAAATGCACAAACAAGAAAAGTGACTCGAAATATATATATATGTACGAGTATATATATATATATATATCATGTGTATCTGAGTGGGTCTGTGAATGTAGCTGAGTATCTAACAGAACGCCACAGAGCCAGTCCACATAAATTGGTTTTTAATTCAGCAAATTATTTGGAGTACTCACTTTGAGTGTCAATTGCCGCAATAATTTACCAGCAGCTGCTGTGGTCAATATGTTCATCTCAATAATTCCAACTACTAAATGCCAAAAACCATAAATAACAATCATTTTATTCCTTTGGCCACTTGCCAGTAATTGTGGCCATATCTTAGAAGAAACAACCTTAAATAAATTAGTCATCTTTAAGATGTTTGTTTGCTTTTCTAGCAGAGAAGTATTTAGTTTTTAGAAAATAATCCAGTAATTAAAATTTATTAATAAAACCACAACACTTTAATTTGCTAAAACATGCTGCAGATTTTCTGTTATTAACTAGTCAGCAATTTAGGCAATGTGGCCACCAACAAAAACTATAATTCTAAGAATTTATGAAGTTTTTCTAGGGAAAAGGTTTTAGTCACTCTTTAAGAAAATGTTTCTAGGAAAAAAGGTACATGATGTGCTTGTCTTTACTGTGAAAATTCTTGTTATAAAAGCTAAGTGGGGATTTTATTTTCCTCCCAATCTAAAGCTTTATTTACCATTCAATTAAAATCTCTAAAATTGTAATTTATTGTTTATTTACCAACGAAAAATTTGTTATTTCGTATGCAAACAAGATTTTATTTATCTTGTCTATAATCTATGGAAATCATGGAAGTTACAATGCAGCTGTGCAAAACTTAAACAATGACAAATGTGGCTAATAAATTTTCTATGAGCCTGAATTCCATTATGACTTGAAATAAATTGAGCAAATTGTAAACCATTTAACATTTAGCATTTTTACCCGCGGCGACGACCGGCAAACAAATTGTCTGACTCTGTTTACCTTGGCTAATTGAAATTGGCACTTTAAGGTGTTTCAAGGGCATCGGATAAGGGTTCGGCATGATGTGTAACGTTTAAGTGGTAGTTGCAGCATTTAACGGCCTTAATAATTGGCTAATATTATGGGCCACAAATGCCGAAGAGCTAAACTCTAGGGGATCGTTGAGCCAATTGTCCTAGCGGGAGTTATACGGCCTGAGCTGTATCTGATAAGGGCTCTTCGCCACCATTTCCTCTAGCTTGGTTTTCCGCCGGAAAATGTGCTAATAAAAAATGAGGAAAGACGCACATACACTTATATATATGTATATGTATATGTATATCTACACATATTTGACAAGCGGAACGTTAATTAACGGCTTCGCGAATGGCGGAAAAAGAGAAACAACGGCAGCAAAGGAAAAGCCTGGAGTGCCATTGCTGTTTATCTGCAGCTGTCAGTTGATGGCGCCATTTTTTTCCTTCTATTTCTTATGTCCCCAGTGGGTGGCTGTGTGGGTGGCGATATCCTGTGTATGTGTGTGGGTGCGCCACCTGTTTAGGCATATTTCCCAAGGCCACGTGTTTGTGAATAGAAAACGACTTAAGGAACTTCTTGGCAGCAGGCAAAAAACGAGATAATTTCTTGATTAAGCTTAAATTTCTTTGACTTATGTTTTAGGGGGGAAAAAAATAATGTTTGGATTGAAAGGAGAAGCAAGTTTAGTTATTAATAGTTGTGTTTTTGTTTAATTAAGTAACCTGTGACATGGCAGGAGATGGCAAGGTAGTTTAATCTGAAAGCTTGAAAGAAGTTTACTTGTTTATGAGAGGAAATTCAATAAATATTGTGATTAAAATGAGAAGATAGTTTAGTTGCTAACAGTTATATATATGTAGGTATCAAGATTATGAATAATAAAGGAGAAAAGAAACTGAGTGGGAGTTGGAGAAAGTCAGGAAAGTATAAGTGAAAAATATCTCAAAAATATCAACCGAAAATGACAGTTAAGTTATTATTTTGCATTAAAGACTAATCAGCGGCAAAATGTTAGTACTTAATGAGCCCAAAGTTCTTTGAAATATAAAATAATATTAAAGATTTAAATTTTATGAATGTTTGCTTTAAAGTTAGCAGGAAATTTAAAAAATCAAAAGAGAATATTTATATTTTCACCCCCTACCCATAAAAATCCATAAAAACTCATATAACAGCATGTTACCTTCAGGTGAACTGCGGGAAACGACTTGCCGGATATTAATAAATGTTCTTTATCCTCCATATTGTCCCTTGAAATGCTCCTTTGATTGCCCCGTGTCATTCGCAGAAAGATGAGTTTACAAGAATCCCATCCCTGAAATGAAATAAGTTCGTTGGTCCACAATTTCATTTCGATTTAATGTGGAGGCTATAACGTATAATTGCCCACAACACACAACAGATGTAAACGTTTGACAAAATCGAAAGGCCAATCGATCAACATCAACATCGCTGACAGATATTGGTTTGACTGGCATCTGAGTTCCAGTCCAAATGGTAACTACACTGAACGTTGGTAGTTATAATGCTAAAAAATATATGCATAACTTTATGAGGCAATCGTATCGTTTGGAAGTCTGGCCAACAGGCGGTGGAGTTGCGTAATGATTGGCGAACAGGATTTCGATTCTGATTTAGATTCATAAAAATTCATCGGGGGCCATTAGCCAAATGCAACACCTTCGACGACGTGTGGACACATCGACTTTGATTCAGCCAACTGAGTGATCTGAGCAAGGCAGTGTCATATGCTAACCATAAGTTTTGCACAATAAAAAAATAGTGAGGTTAATTAAATTTAGTTTAATAAAGATTTTGTTATATAGTTTTCATAGAGATTTTATAAAAAAAGGGAGTTCTTAAAATGAGTAATACTTTTTGATGATCTTAAAAGAATGTTAAGGCAATCAACTTGAAGTATAATTTGATTTCAGCTCTTAACGTTCACCCACTAAAACATATTTTTATAGGAAAAATATATAAAAATCTGGTAAAATTAATACCTCTGTATATTATACATTTTGATTTCTCTCAAAGTGCGTTGCCAATTAATTGCCTACACCGCCCAAGCAACGTTGATTTCGAATCACAGCTGGACATTCGGACAGGTGTACTTAACTCAACTGAACTCAACTCAGATCAGTTCAGCTCAGCTCTACTTTGGTCACTCAAAATTGCAATTCGGTTTGTTAATTATGCTGCACAGTTGCAGTTGGCACTCGTTTGGTATTTCCACACTACAGGTCCATAATTAGGCAATGACATAGAAAACTGGCTGACAAGCTTTGAGCCACAATGTCAGAAAACTTTGCATTGTTTTCGAAATCAAAAAGGGAGGCAAATTTGCATACCGTGTTATTTTTAATGAGAGAAACGAATATTGTGGCCCTTAAAGCCTAACCTTTGTTTTGGTAGCAGAATTATAAACCATGAAAATTAATTAGTATTATATTATTAAAACCACAAAAAGTGAACAATTTATTTGTTACTAGCTAACGATTACGTGGAATTATGCACTTGGCGGAAAAATATTTAAGTCACTTAAAAAACACAAAAAGAAACTTATTTTATATAACGATATTAATGAATCAAATTGTAACAGCTACATTATTTTCTAATTATTATTTAACAGAGCCAACAGTATTATTTTAATATTCGATTAAGCTGAGTTAAATACGAATATCCATAAGCTTTTTGAAGAGTTTTCTTAATACATTTTTCCTAATTTTATATAAAACCTCTTTTTACTTTAAATTACAAATTCCAAATAATTTTTAGAATTTTAAATTTTATCCTAATTTCTCTCTCTGTAATGAAAAATCAATCTTTTGTTTCAGGTTCTGACTAGTGGTAGTCCAACAACAACAAAAATAAAACAGAAATAATCCAACTGCAATGATGCAGGACACGGGCAGCCACATGCATCATCGGGTGCCATTCAATGATACGGTTTTAAAAGACCATCATCTAACCAGTACCGATATCGAAAAGTTTGTAAAATTATGGCAAGAATTCCAAATGAAGAACATGACCCCCCAGGATGAGTGTCAGGGCTATTGCCAGGGGGAAATTTATAACTGGCTGCGTGCCTACAACAGCATCCATGGATACGTTTCATTGATGGTGAGTTTTCCGACCAACACGAAAGCCTTAATGTTAAAGGGAAAACAAAAGAAATTTTTTGACTAATGATGAGCAAAGGAAGCCAAGAAAGGTTTCTCTGCTAACCATCAGTCTGCTGATGAATTCAGAGGACTGCTTTACCTTTGAACTCTTGCCCAAGTCTGGTCTGAGGAATTTAGTCCCTTTTCTGAATTAAAGCTGTTCGGTACGTTCAGTTTAGCCAACAAAATCACAAATCAAATTAAGGACCTGAAATCTAGGGCTTTTGTTTTTGTCTTGGATTTCCTTTCCTTAAAGGAATTTTTTGTTGGTTGGGTTATAAATTATATTTGATGCGGTTAGGGCGTTAATGTGTTTTCTTTTTCATTTTAATTTCCAGACATTACGTTTTTATCTGACTCCTCTTCAAAAGGGCTTAAAGGGCTTCTAGTTTACAAACCATTTAACAGCAAAATAGTTGAGCTAAAATTAATTTCATTTTTATCAGTTGCAGTTCGCGAAAAAGGTTGCTTTCAGTCGAAAGAATTTAATTTCATTTGATTACCATGTAACTTTATAAGGGGGCTCACATGCTCGTGTAAAACTTAAATGTTAACAATAGTCACACATTCAGCAGTTGGGGGAAATGGAAAATGTTTTGGAAAAGAAATGTAAATGGGAAAAGCTGCGTTGCTATGTTGCTTACTTGCCGAATGAATAAAACATTCATCCACATTGGAATCCAAGGGCTGTGCAATCAATCGGAAGTGTGCGAGAGCACTCAAAGTTTAGGTTTTGATAAAGAACACATTTTTTATATTGATTCTTGTTGTTTTCTTCGCATACACATAGATTTGCATATTCGGGACGATTGCGAACATCTTGAACATAATGGTCCTGACCAGAAAGGAAATGGCCAAGACGCCCATAAATAATATTCTCAAATGGTTAGCCGTCGCCGATATGTTTGTGATGCTGGAATATATTCCCTATACATCGTATCAGTATATCTACATGAAACCGGGTAAGCATAATCTCTGCCATATGAAAACATTTTAAAATTTGCATATTTTATCAATAACTTTCCCTGCGCAGGTGAAAAGGATTTGAGCTACACCTGGGCAGTTTGCCTTCTGGTCCATATGCACTTCACCCAGATTCTGCATACGATTTCCATTGGTTTGACAGTGACGCTGGCGATATGGCGTTATGTGGCCATCAGGTAAGCTAATACGTAGGAGAGCAACCTGAATGCATGACATTCCCAGGGATTCCCCCCGTCATCCATGTAGACTTTGGCTTTGATTCACATTCACGTTAATCCACATCAGCAATTCGTACAGACATCCCGGCTAATTTGACTAACACATCAATGTGGCAATGTGGCTTCTCTTCTCTTCTCTCCGTCTTTTGTTTATAGCCAAATGTTACCGTCTCTATTCCACAGACATCCGAATGGTGGCTGTGCCAACTTCCTGCTTGCGCATTCCCGGGAGGCGATCCTCCTGCCCTTCATCCTATCGCCCATCCTCTGTCTGCCCACGTATTTTGTGTTCCAGGTGCGTGAGACCTATGATGTGGACAAGGTCAACTCGGAGGCCATGTATCATGTGTATTTCGATAAGGACTCGGTGCTCTACAGGTGGGTTTAGGTGTTTATTAATATAGTAATATGTATAGTAATCGCGGTTTCTGCAGAAGTAATTTGTTCTTGTTCAAATTTTATGAATTCAACATTTCCTTTTTTCAGGTTTAATTTCTGGATACATTCCGTGCTCATCAAACTTTTGCCATGCGGCATATTGATCGTCATCAGTGCAGTACTCATGCATGTTCTGTGTGAGGCCTCGAGACGTCGCTTAAAGCTAAGAGACTACAATAATCCCGCCAAGTATGCCATCCAGCTCAACCTGAACGAAGCCAAGTCTAAGAAGTGAGCTTATTTATGTTTATATATAAAGTTCATATACAACTTAAGCATTCATATAAACTTAAGGTTTATTTATTTAAGGTTATATTAGTTTTATATATACTTAGATTTTCATACTGCTTTTGGTTTGGCTATCTCAAAAGTTTTATTTTAACTTTCTTCCCTTAAACATTTGCTGTATTGTTTGAGGATGCTCAAGCTTCCTTTGTTTCAGACTGCTAGGTCAATTAGTTGGTTTTTCCTTTGGAAAACTGTGATGCTCTGGGCACTTGTTAGTTTATCATCAAATGATGCAAGACCAGACTTCAACAACTATTTTTAAGCTTTTTAAGTCGTTTTATAGCAGCTTAAGGGCCATAATCTACCTCAGTTAACTTTGTATTAGTTGGTTCCTTCTAACAAAATCTTTAAATGTTTAAGGTATTCTTTTTATAAGTATCCCGAAGTAGTTTTTGCAGAGTTTTAAGAGAAATATTTAAAAAAGATTAGTTTCCTTAAAGTTATGGTTCTTAATATTTCCTTACTTTCAGGCCGCCACGCTGTGATCGTCGAAATGATCGGACTACCCTTCTTCTGGTGGCAGTTCTGGTTCTCTTTCTAATCACTGAATTCCCGCAGGGACTATTAGGTCTGCTGTCCGGCGTGATGGAGAAGTGCTTCTTTGCCCATTGCTACCCACCATTTGGTGAACTGATGGATCTGCTGGCGCTGATCAATGCCGCCGTGGGCTTTGTGCTATATGGACTGATGTCGAAACAGTTTAGGACGACCTTCCGATCGCTTTTCATGAAGCGTCATTTTGGCAGCACCGAGATGACCCGGCTAACCAGGGTCACAACGACTTGTGTTTAATTTGGGGGAAACGGAAATCTCCAAGGTGTGATTATGAGTAGAGGAGCAAAGTATGAAGGGGACACCCAAAAGTAGATGAAGGACATCCAAGATGTTCCTGGCTGGCTCCGTTTGAATTTTCTAAAACCATAAACTTTATAAAAGTTTCGTTATCTTGAATAACACTTAAACCAAGAAACTGTGAGTGTGGAATTAAAGTTTAAACTGAACGATGAACTTGATTATAGACTTTAAAGGTTTTAATAGAGTACATCGATTGGTTAACAGATTAATTCTGCTTGTGATTTGGCTGTCTAGAAAGTGCCATTTCATTTCCAATTTAAATTACGGCCTAAGATTTATTCGTTAACCAGTTCGTGTTTCAAATTCGTGTTAGTATATAAGTTTTTTGATAGGCGGTAAGTCAGTACAAGCTAAGAGACATTTACTTTCCACTAAGGTCTTAAAACAGGAATCCATGAATATATATATATATATATATAGCTATGCTAAGAGGATTGAAAAACTCCATGAGCCCCCGAGTTGTTTTGTATCTTCTTGGCTAAAAAAAATATCAAATGCTATTTTGATTATATATGTCGATATCTGGTTTTTCAGCCAAGTGCCAATGGATTTTACATTGGCACTTTGAAGTTCCAAAAATTATAAATGTACTATCTAACTAAGCTGCTTGTACTATTTATAAATAAATGTAAACACTGTCAAATAAATGTTTGATGTGAGTTACATAAAACAGAAATACTTTATTGGCTTTTATTTTGGAGATAATAAACCTCCTTTTAATTTTGACTAACAACAGCATTTACCTCCAGTGGCAGTTCGTCTGGCAGCAGTTCACTGGATCGATTTTGTCCCAACTCTGATGATGATTCCCCCAAATCTGCGGAGTCCAGCAGGATTCCATTGCCCTGATTCGAGATGCGGAGAAGGGATTTCAGCTTGGTGGCTTGGAATTTGTACTGCAGAAAATGAAGAGCAATAAAATCTGGTCTATTGGGAGTTTTCCTCATACAATTTTGGCACGGTGCGTGGACTTTTTCTTGTTTGAGGTTTAATTTTTTCTAGTCTCTGAGACCAATTACGCGATGGAATTTCTATTCACATGCCAGTGCATATATCCACTGGGTATGATGGTATTTCGTGCGACTTACTTCCGTGGGCAGCAAAAGATCCTGGGCCTGGCTCATGAAACGGTTGTACTGTTCGGTGGCCAATGCCAAACGTCCGGTTTCGTAGCAAAAGAGGGCAAAGTTCAGCAAAACCAAAGGATTACGTCCTCCAGCACCCTGTTGCCCAGTTGCCATGCTGCTGGCCCTTTCTAGGGCCACAAATGCGTTCTCCGCATCGTCCAGCTTACGCAAACAGACTGCAAAGTAGAGGAGGATGAGGTATTATTTCAAGAGGAAAAATAGTTACACTGAGAGGAATAGGGGATGTACTTTATGGGTATTTGTTGTTAAATAAAGAGATATATTTGCAATTATTTAAAAATATTTTTAGGCTTAAAATACATAAATTAATAGGTAAGTTATAAAATTTAAAAAAAAATACATTTTTACGAAAACATTTTCTTTTTCGATATTTTTAATTTGTTTGAGAAATTTAACATAAAAGTTTCTTTGAAAATTATCATTTAAATTTAACAGAAAAATCAAATATAACTTTCTTAATATTAAAAAATATTTCATAAACTTTTTAAAAGTGAAATAAAGGAAACTTACGGCCCAGGAGCATGTAGCATTCGGCATTATCCTTGCGCAGGTTTATGGCTGCGGCCAGCGTGTGAAAGGCACTGGCGTATTGTTCAGCTGCGGCCAAGTTAAGGGTAAGACAAGAAACAACAGATGCTCTTCTTAACGGTAGAAATGCCAACAAACAATGCTGCAATATACAGTAGCCAAGAATCGCCGCCGGCTCTGGACTTTTCTTGGCACTTTTAAGAAATTTATTAAAAAAAAAAAAAAAGGAAGAAGAAACCTCTAACCCATAGTTTTCCTCAGATGCCCTCAAGTGAATATTTGTCCCCTAAAATCCAACCCTACTCACATTGTTAGTGTTTCTATTGTCTCTGTTTGTTCAGGTTTTCATTAGGCCAGTTTCTAGTGCTCTTGTTACAAATTTGTATTGACCAAAATCACTGAGGGCGCGTTGCATGTTGGCCAAATTCTCTTTGTTTGTTTTTGAAAATGGTGAACTGCACATCAATACAGATATCTGATTTTGGGAGATATTTTTCTATCTCTAAATCTTTTTTTTATTTATCCTACTTTCATGAAATGTATCTCTACGAATCTTTTTGCTAGAAATTCAGGATAAAACTAGTGGAATATTTTGTAATTAAAAGAGATGGCCAGAGGAAAATTTGATAGCTGGAATTTTTACATAGAAACTTTGCATTTTGATTTGCCTCAGGTGAGTACTACTGAACACACTCCCATGAAGTTTAAATTGAATTTAATAGAATCTTTAAATTTTCGGAATACTCACAGGCAATGTAGATTAAACTCAGATTGTACAAGGCATTGTAATTAAGCGGTGATAGCCAAACGGATTTACGCAGCGATGAAATGGCCTGGAAATTATGAAACATTTAAATGCCAACCGATATGATAAATACACCTTGGCATTGCCATTACCACAATAAACTTTTGCTTCTTGAAGAAGCACAAACCAATGTTATTCCACAGCTCGGCAATTTCCGGCTCAGCATTTGCGATTTGGCTGTATTTGCTGAGAGCGCCGTCGACATCGTTGCGGGACTAAAAAAAAGAAAAATCACACAAAAATTCACAAAAAAAATATGTATATGGTTAGAGAAAGGGAATCCATATCTTTGTACCTGCAAAATGGCGCCAAAGGCCAAAAGTCCCTTGGGCGAGCATTTCCTTTCGATGCTGACGACTTCCGCCAGACGATCGTGTGCCTTTTGGGTTTCATTGATTTTCAAATACAAGACACTGATTTCAATCAGTACCTCCGAGTTCTCAGGTGTCAAACTGGAATCAGTTAATGTATTCATTATAATCATTATGTCATTAGCCATACTAACTGCAGGCAAGTTTCCAGCACATCGATGGCCTTTTGGTATTGCTTGTCCTTGCGATATAGCTCAGCCAAACGGACATAGCTCTCAAGTTTCCGGCCAGATTGCACGGCCAATTCAAAGTAGGAACGTGCCTCGTCCTGCTGCTGGTTGGCTATTTCCTTTTGGCTTTGCGTTGTGGCCGCACGATAGAGCAATTCACCCAGGTAATGGTATATCTCATGATCCTGCCGACTGCTACGCTGTTCCGCCTCACGAAACACACCCAAAGCCTGGGCAAAGCGACCCATTATGTAGCTGAAAAAAGAGAGATTTAGAGAGTTAATATTAATTAATAGTTTTTAGTTAAAACAGGGAACTTATTACATAGGATAAAGTTCAATGCTAATTAAAAATAGTTTCGATTTCATTCGCTTGAAACTTTTTTGTTCCAATAATCCAATTACGTAATTCCAGTTTACAAAATAATAATAAAAAGTGTAAGCTGCTTTTTCACAAACTATTTCATAAAAACAAACTTGCCAATGGTGGTAAGGCTTTTCCGTTTTAATTAGTATTATGTTATTTTTAGACTAAATTAACTCGTGTTTTTATCGCATTAAAATTTGCTCAATAGGGGCTTATCTTAGGAAAGGTTTTTTTAAGTTTGTTACAGAATATTTTGTTAGATAATTGGTTAAGTAAGGAATTTAATTATTAAGAATATATTTTTGTTTTCATTCGGCATTTATAGACTAAAAACGTCCATCAAATTGTTTTTTTTTAGTAACATTTCGATTTCGTTTAAATGGAAATGTTGACTGACCAACGAAGAACCATTCGCGATTTAAAGACCTGCTATATTCCCTCTGGAAAGAAAATATATAAAACTATACCCACAGTGTTCGTCCGATTTCCTTATAGGTCTCAATATTCCTTGGATTGAGCTCCACAGATTTCTGCAAATGCCGCAGGGCCTCAATGTGGTTGCCCTCTTCACGGTCAATTAGTCCCTGGCGAAGGCAATCAATTAGAAAAGACACCCAGCATTAACCACATCAAGCTGGCAATTTTTTTTTGTTTTTGGTTTTGGTCATCTCACCTGGACAAAGTACAGGTACTCGGGATTCAAATGACGATTCAGCTCACGTTCGATGAGACGGCGGCAGCGCGTGAACTCGCGGCGAGTAAAATAAATGTGGAGCAGCCAATCAATGTTGGCATCGGCTGGCATTTTGGGAGCTAATCGAAGGACAAAAGAACAATGAAATAAATTCTTGAATAGAGTTTTCTTTTTAGAGGCTTCGCCATTACCTGGACGCACAACCTCCAGGCTGGGCAATTCAATAAGTCTGCCGTTGCAGTTGATCTGCTCGGTGCCCGGCTCGTACATAGATTACGCTCTTTTTTTTTTCGTTTTCCTTAGCAATGGGTGGAAAGAAAAAGCTCAACTTCAAAGGCAACTCGCGGCTGGTATTTGCTATCCATTTGTTTTGGTCGCCGGCAAGATTTCGCGTTGCCATGGTTTTGAAACATTTAAGGGTTACCAAGGTAGACGGGGCGGCAAAATTAACTTGTTAACTGAATTAGTGCACGTTTACCCAGCTTTAGGCCAAACTAACCAAAACAGAGACTATGGAAAATTCCACGTTGTTTGTTTTATTTAATTAGCTGCGACAAATATGTCGAAAAACTATTGGAAACTAATCGAAATGCAATAAAAAATAAACTAAAACTGGGTAAATAATTGCCAAGACTAAAAGGCAAACTGGCAGGCAGATCTTGGGGATAAAACCAGTTCTTTGGGGTCTGCGCTTTCGAAGTCCCGAAGTCTGACACCGCCTAATTACTCAATTTATTTCACACCGGCCAAAGTGGCAAACACTGTTGCACTCGTTACCATTTTGGGGCAATACAAAAAAAAAAAAAAAAATAAAACAAAAAACATTTGATCGTGAGCTACATTTCAAACTGTTTACGCGGCCCAAGCCAAAACTCAAAAGCAATTAATGCACGAGAAATATCGTACAAGATCACTACCAATATCTGTATCAATCGATCGATTGCGGCGCCGCTTTCAGATCTTTCGAGATCGCAGATCTCAAACGGGAAGTGCCACCTGATGTCTTTTTTTTACTGAAAAGGCAAAGCCGCCGTTGCTCGATTTGTGGCAAGAGTTCGATAGGAAGTGGCCAGTGGCTGGCTCTCGATGACTGAGGTCCATAAAGATTGACAGTCATGATGGATTCGCTTCCATAAGCGGCCCCAAATTGCAGCTGATTAAAAATCAATTACTAACATGGCAGAATAACATAGATTTAGCCAAGTTTCTAAGAGGGATTTTAATATGGATGTACAGTAAACATCGGTTGGGAAGAACTCTGTTGAATAGTTGTTTTTTTTTTGTGATTCAGGAGCTTGGAAACTTTTTTAGTAAGAAACTGAATAAAATAATAAATTTTATTTTTAACGATTTTTAAAGTTTTTTTTTCGAATTCTCTGCCTTTTTAGTGTTATAAATTTTAAGTTAGTGTTTAGCGCCATCTATGGATTATTAATGTAACTACTTCATTCTACAAGTGTTGTTTGTCTTACATTTTACATGTAAGATAGATGCATATTTTTTCACTTGTTTGCAGTGATAAATCCCTAGATGGCGACACTTCAATATAAAAGTTTGCTAAAAGGAAATAAATAAAGGAAATCATATACAAAAACTATTAAATGCATTTAAAATTTATATAGTTTTATAATATTGTTTAATTAGTAAGTAAGTCCTAAAATAGGTAAGCTTAAAAATTACTCCGGAACTGGTTGGTACAGAAAGTTAATTCCAGTTGGTGGCGCCTTTTTAGATCACTTCTTTAGTACGAAATTTAGCAACGACAGCAACTAGCGCCACAGTTGGCATCATCCGTAACTTTGTAGTTCTCTTAAACGCCACATTAGATATGGCGTCTTTTAAAGGAGTTTGTGGCGCCACTGTGCTCAATTTCGTAACCCTTTTAAAAAAAAAAGAAATTAATTATTTTTAAGAGTAAGAAATTCCCAATTAATATTATAAATTAGAATACTTATTTAAAGAATTTTGATCTAGTTCGCCATTTAAGGCTCCATTGCATATTTAGGATCTAGTTTGTTGTCACTAAAAATTCTTTCCTTAATTTGCTGATTTACAAAAATCGTAAAACATTGCTGAAATGTATACTTCCAAATAAGTCAAATTATCTTAAATCGATCATAAAAATCTTAGTCTCGCTTATTGTGCTTTATATAAAACTAAAACTAGGCTGTAAACCTATGAAATTTCTAAGTTTTTTTTTTGAATTTATAAAGTATACTACCCTCTCTCTTCTCTAACTTCACTCCAAGATTTTTCCAAACTCGATCCAAATGTGTAGTAATAAAAGGTCAAGTAAGTGTTCTTATACATGAAACTAAATTCCCTTTATATCAAGCTTGTTGCTCTGTTCCGCCCAATCATCTGATGGCTCCTCGAATGGGGGAAGCCCTAATTCAATTACAGTACCACTGTAAATATGATTTACACCCGACGACACTTCATCTTGACCTCCGCGACCGGGGTGGTGGAGTGAGCCATCTCCGCATATCTTACGCACATATTTGTGGGGCCAAAGGTCGTAAAAAAGCGACTTACACAGCATACCCAAGCCCAGCAACCCAAAAACTGTTCCGCCTGCAGGCTGAAAGAGTCATTCATGTGGATTGCAAGTGCCGCTCACGTTTGTTTTTCCCCCCTGGAAGGTCGTTATTCACTGGGGAAAAGCGAGGGAGTCGTAAGTCGTAAATATATTCTGCGTATTGTGCAGCAATACGCGACTTGGCCTAAATCCCACTTTGGCTTTGACTTTGGCCTCGTCTCTGTTCTTTTGTTCCAATTTATGCAATGCCAGTGTCCACTTTATTATTTCAGTATGGCTTTTACGATGGTTACGCTACGGACACCTAAATATAGATATTGTCTTGGCCGACTTGTTTACCAAATTGGTGTCTGGTCTACTACCATCCACTCCCCTTCAACATGTTCGGCAATCTGTGCTCAGACAACAACAGAGAAAACATTTGTATATGCGTGAGTGACCCAAATAAGTATGCTTTGTTTCTTGCCACTACTTGCCCTTGCTTTTTGCTAGAATTCTGCGTTTCAGGGTTGAACTCCCACGTTGGGCGTCCCATTTACGATAATATTTAATCGCAAATTGATGTTTACACGTTCGATGGTGTCTATTTTTTTTGGTTAATACACAGAGAGAAAATATATTTACAGCTAAAAACGAGAAAATGCCACATTAATAATTTAGAATGTTTAAAATTGTTAAATTTTGTTCTTTTTAATATTTTTTACAGCATTTTTTCTTCGTATTAACATCTTTTTGTTTTCCCAGTGTATTATTGTCTAGAATAGGCTAACATATTTTGTCTAAAGTGCCCTTCAAGATGGCTTTAATGAGGCTTTGATGTTTGTTTTCCACTTGTTTACGGCCAAGGATATCCTTTCGCTTTTTCTTTTGGCCAATGTATGGCATATTCAATTTACTCCTGCCAGACTTCGGTTTGGTAAAAATCTTTGACACATTTCGTTGAGGGTCAGAGGTGATGGCTCTGCCCCATATTTCCTATCCGCCTGCCCCCTTTTGGAACCCCATGTTGGCATTAGCATAACTATGGAATGTCAGGGACAGCAAGCAGAAATATGTTTCAGTTTAAGAATTGACAAAATTTGACAAAAATGTATACCCAAAGTGAATGTTGTGTGTGTGTTCTTTTGCGAGTGTATGTGTGTGTTGGGAATGTCAATGAAAGGCCCCGGGTCCTGTGGCCTGCGTTTCGGTATCCTGTGTCCCGAATAGCTGAGAGCTGAACAAAACAACAACAACAAAAAATATGGAAAATATGCGTGCTGAAGTTCTGCGTGCTGTCGCTGTAATTTATGTCAAGCCAAACAAAAAACAACGAAATTGTTGTGGCACATAACCGAGAGGAGCAGCAGCAGCACTTTGTTCGGTTGCAGCAGATATGCAAAAAACAAATGCAAACACACAAACAGAAAAGAAGGAAATGACAACAAACATACGCATACATAGAGAGAGAGAGAGATATATATACGCAATACATATAGAATTGGATGCGGCGATGCGGAATGTTTATTTGCTGTAAAATTTGAGGCATGCAACGCTTATGAAATAACATTTTTCGGCCAGAGAGCATCGGAATCCGTTGGTTGGTGGAAAACCAAAAGGCCACTTCATGTAATAACTCTATTTGCTGCTGCATGGATACATTTTAGAAAACATAAATGCAAATTGCTTTAAATGGCGAAATGGGAAATGCGATAGCCAGCAGACATCAAAGCGAAATGCCCATTAAACATTCACCAGTTGAATTTCCCAGGGCTTTTACTAATATTTCTATATATATAGGGAGGAAAAGAAGAGGGAGACCATGGCCCTCTGATGTTGCCCCGTTAATTTGACTTTAATATAGCAAATAATGCAATTAGGCAGGGGCCCTTATAGAATGTGATATTCGGGTTCAATAAGTTCATCGAAGGGTTAGGCGCCTGCGGGTCCATGATTGATGAAACCAAACCATGCCACCACCACAAATTCAATGGGAATGGGCAACACTTGAGAGAAGCAACAGAAGTGGCTGCCTCACATCCATTTGTGGCTTTTTCGGTTACTGAATAATAAGCATGAGGCCAAAGTCAATGTGTGTGTGTGTCTCCTAGGTTGCCTTCTTCTGCTTCATCTTCTTCATAAAACACCCATCTCTGCCCTCCCATGCCACATGTTGAAAAGTGAGTTCTGTGCCGTTAATTAATTAAATTGTCATACCCTCTGGGCGCCACAAGCGACAATTGAGAAATCTTCAGCCCGGTTGCCATTTGAACTCCACCTTCGGCGTCATCAAAATTGTTGGGTAACCCAAAGGGGGAGGCTTTCCAGCCCCCCTTCCAACCAAAAAAAAATATTAATGAGCTTGGCTTGCCAGTAAGTTACTTTTAACCGGAATTCACCGGCAGAAGCCGCCTCCATCGAGCCCATAAATAATCATTTATTGAATGAACTAAAGATATATACTCGAGCACTATTTCTGCGACACTCAGGCTCGTACTCTGGCTGACTGGCTGAATCATTTACGAGCGATTCATTCATAAAAACCGAGTAAATAATTCAATTTAGATCGAATGCGTCATCTTCTGTTAATTAAACGGTCACGCAGGCTTTCAACTGAGCGATACCTGGTCAATGGGTATATAGAAAGATATAGAAGCAGGTCTTACTTATTGTTTGTTATTAAAAAAAATAGTTATAGGAGCAACATAGTATCAATAATAGTAATCCCAATATAAGTTAAAGATATAAAAATACCTAAAATCCTTAATGAATTTCTTTTTTATGTTTTCCCACAGCTAATTAGTTAACTACATTTTTTATCCCTAAATTATTATCGCTACTTAACTTCAATTACCGAAAAAAAGACTTCTTTTCACCCAAAAATCTTCCCAGGAAGTTCGTTCGTTACTAAGATTTTCATCCACAAACAGGGTATGCGGGCAGCTGGAAAATCCCCGATGAAAACTGACTGACAGCCGAACGAGAGTGCAACCCTTGAGTGCAACAGCAGATGGTATGTGTGTGTGTGTGTGTGAGAGAGTTTGTCTGCTGCTGCTGCTGCTACTGCTACTGACGACGTCATGAAGGTCAACAGACAAACAATCCCCCAATCTGGAAACCCCAACCCCTGGCAACCCCTCCAACCTCCTTCAACCCATCGAGCCGTGGTCAATTGAAGAGGTTAAATTCGTGTGGGCCCCTCTTTGGACAGCTTGTTTCGTATGCTGTGTCAGGGGCTTAGTCATGTCCCCGGGGTGTTAGTGTTAATGCCCCAAATGCCATTGGCGTGCGTTGTTGCAGTTATGGTTGGCAATTATAATTTGAACAAATTATAAATTAATGTGTGTGTGAGTATATGTGCTGGTCATACGGTCATCAAAGCATAATTGTAATTGTTGACTTATATGGGTGGGTTTTCGGGTTAATTCGTATTGTAGTTAGTGAGATGGCGCTGAAGAAGAAGGGGGTTAAGAGCTCTGAAGAGCTGCCATCGCTTATTATAATTTAATCAACAAATGCCCGGCTGTGTGAGAAGTCAACTATGCGGGCATCGTTGGTTGGTTTTTTGTTTTTGCCAGCCAGCCATCCAGCCAGCCAGCCAAGTTAAACATTGTCGAACTGCCACAATTTATTAATTAGTCGCGGTCAATCAAACAAACAATGTGCCAAAGGGCTTAGCTTAACCGGCGGGCATTTAGCGGTTAAGCGAGTCAGAATATGAAATGGCTCTTAAAGGGAAGTTCGGGGAACTCTACTGAAAGTGTTTTGAGGTTTAACAGTCGAAGAGAGCTCAAAGAGGTTATGATATAATGTTGAATTTGCCTTTGTAAAGGTTCTATCGTAACTCTGCTAGTTCGAGTGACATTAATCGGACATAAGGAGAGTTTGTATGGCACATGTTGGCCAATGTTTGTACACTAAGAAAATTAAGAATATTTCATAAGCATTTTACATAAAATTTGTACTCTTACTGATACGAACTTCAGACATTTCTTATTAATGCCTAAAAAGCTCTTTGTATGATGATATTTTATAAAGATCCTTTTAATAAAGTTCGTTGACTTTTAATAACAACTTTACTCTTCTACATTATCTTAAAAAATATTGAAAAAAATATTTAAACATTTCATAAAAATTTAGTAAAATTTTCCTAACAACATTCCTTTTTGGCATAATCTAAAAACAAGTTTCAAAATTAGTTTAAGACCTTTACAGGCAACTCAAGGATTTAACTACACATCGTTTACAAGCATTAAGTTAAAAACAGATAAATATTAAACAAATATATAAATAAAAAAATAAATAAAATGACAATTTAGAATGCAATGTTCTACTTTAATTTGAAAATCAGGAAACAAGTTTAATCTTTAAAATTAAGCAGGTCAATAGATCAAATATTTAAATTTAAATAAATTTAAAAAACTAAGTCGCATTTTTTGCCACTATATCAGACTCATTTTGTGCTTCTGCAAATCTTGTTTTGGCTACACACAGAAACACTAAATCTTAACCGGAATAAAGCTATTATTGTTGCAAGGGACCCAAAGAAGCCACACAGTTCACAGCCATATCGATGCCAGAAAATCCATTATACCAAATTAGTTAGCAGTCCATAAACAGAAATGTTTTGTTTGTTGCAGTTGGAATGTTTGGTACAAGTCTTCGTTTCTAGCAATCAAGACATGTTGAGACCAAAATACACTCACATATACAATTTCATGCAAACAGATGTCTCTGTGTGTGTGCTGGCCAGAAGTGTCTGGAAAATCTTGTGGTTACTTTGCCGAGTTGGTAGAGGCAGCCATGGCTGCTGACAGCTCATTAGGCCAGGTGTTAGACGGAAAGGTGGAAAGGATAAGGATGGGTGTCCTTCAGCCTCTCCCCTTCTCTGCACATGCATAGGAGTGTTGGACAAGTGACGAATTTTGACAATGTGCGTCGGCCAGTGTGCATTTGAAGGCAGGTTTCCAAACCGCCCAAAACCACCCAACAACCGCATCCAAACACGAAGAGTTGTCAGCCGGGTGACATGACATGGAAAAACAGCGTTAACCACATGTCCAGCCGAGTCTTAGGTGCCTCGTGTGTGCCAGGCAATCACTTGATTTGATGACCAACAGCTAACAGCTAACAGCCAACAGCAGCAGAAACATTTAGGCCACATAAAATGCAGTTTCATTTTTGTGCAAAAATTTGTGTGTGTATATGTACGAACGCAGGGGAGGTTGTTGCATTTCAAGCAAATTAAGTTAATTAAAAAGTTGCAGGATTTGTGAAGTAATTACCATAAACAAGGCAACTGTGCGCTGGGCTCCTGCTACTGCTCCTGCTCCTGCGGTTCTTGATGTTGCTAACAGAAATTGTTGCTGTTATTGGTACAGGGAGAGAAAATGTTAATCAAAAAGGTATCCTCAGAGATCTAACATATGTAAAATAATGACATCTTCTTTGGCTTTTTTGGTATACAAATCAACTTCCATATCCTTGAATAAAATCCTATTTAAATCAAAAATCAATTAATTTCTCTCAGTGCACCTAGGGTGTGGATAAAGTTGTCGGCATGGAATATAAACACTTCAAGTCGTTGCGCCTGATGCGCTCAGAGCCCGGTCTTCAAAAGACGCTCGGCACACGTGAGAAAATTCCAACAGTTAAGTGGGAGTGGATGCCGTGTGGCAGGAGTATATGGTGGAGGATGTTGTGCCACTTCTTGCCAAAGGTAGCTTCAAGGGTGCTCCACACGAAATTTAAAAACCTTTCACCAGAGAATATGAAACAATGTGAAGGGAAACGGGGGCACTAGAGGAGAAGGTACTGAAACTGAAGAAGCCAAAAGACTGAATTCAGCAATGGATTCAAGAGATATGTCAGTTGGCAGCTGGTTTAGGCCATGCGGCCATATGTGTGGAAATGGTTATGGGTTAAGAGAGATGGAGATAGAGATGGAGATGGCTGAAAATGAGCAACTGCAACTCCAACTGCAAGCGAAGACCACACGCACCACTCAGAACCAATGAATGGTTGGATGAAAATGGAGAAGGAGCAGAGATGGCTGCCATGTATGTCGGGAACAGGTACAAAATGGAGCCGCAGGAACACGTCTCCTTGCGTCACGACCAGACCAAGAAAATGGGAATCGGAGAATTCTCTGGCCCACTACCCTATGCCCTCCTTCTCGGCTCCTTTAACTCGACACTGGGTTTGTTATTGCCGACAGTTGCGGCCAGCCTTGGTGACACTTGAACATAACTGGGTTCTGTTCTCCGCTCCGCCTTTTGTGCAATGCCTGAGTGCACTGATTATGCACATGGGAGAGAGGCATGGTCGAAAGGATTCCGGGTTCTCAGCCAGATATACTATAACAATGCCCGCCAAGATTTACAGCCTCTCTTCTTGGATTGCATTCGGTTGGGCGTAATTTGTTTGGGGGCCACCAAGGAGCGAAGCTCAGCACTTCTTTGGCCAAGTCTTGAGAAGTTAAGAGTCCTTGTTAATGTTTGTATATATTAAAGATACAAATATTTAAGATTGTCAGATAAAGATTGGAGAAATACAAGAAAAATTTAACTGGTAACTTTGCCCATTTCAGCCTAGATAGCCTTTAAAAGACAAACAAAAAAGATTGAAAAGTCATTGTTATCACAAACCTGATTAGCCTTTATGTTTATATATATTGAATGTATTAAAGATTTGAATTAATTAAAAATAATAATAATGTAACTAATTAACACAAATAAATAACATTATTTATAAATAATAATTTATTCTTATCTAGGATTGCTTTCAGCAAGTCACCATGGTTTGCCAATTTCGAAGTGTGATAATAAGTTTGTTTTGTTTTGATTCTCACACTTTCTCTCTCCCGCTTTCTCTAGAGATAAGGTGAAGCTATATAAGCTCTGGTGCTAGGCTCTTAAAATCAGTTGCTAGATTGCAGGGGCAGAGGTATAATTTAATTATGAATATTTTTCAGAATTCTCAGCGAGTTTTTCTATTAAAAGGATCCTTGAGGGCGGCCTCTAGCCAGACTCAAGCAGTTATTGCTAATGTGAGTTGATATTCTAAAACTACACTCAAAGAAAGTAATGATCTTGAAAGGTATAATAAAGATATTCAATCTAAGTTATTGGCGAATTTTCCTAAATTTTTTAAAAATACTTGATGTTGTGAGAAGTTTCTTCAGGTTTTAGTTTTTACTTCAAAATTAGTGGAGAATTTTGAAATAGCAGAGCAGTTCATAAAACTTATAAAATCATTAATTAATATCAAGGAAATCGACAATGCACCTTCTGAAGCCCTACCCTATAAGGACATTCCACGTCCTGGCAAACTAGAGTTCATAAGGGCATTTATGCCTGGTGGCGAATTTCACGATGCCTCCATTGTGGATTATGCAGCTGCGATGAGGAGTCGTTATGGTGATATCTTCATAATGCCTGGAATATTTGGACGTAAGGATTGGGTCACGACCTTCAGTCCCAAGGACATAGAAATGGTTTTCCGCAATGAAGGAAATTGGCCACAAAGAGAGACCTTTGCTTCGATTTCCCATTTTCGGACACAAATAAGAAAAGATTTTTATGGAGAAAATGTCGGTCTGGTATCTGCGTAAGTTGTTAAATATAAATTATACAAATTCATATCAAGAAACATATTCAAATATTTGCAGGCAAGCGGAATCCTGGGGCAAGATGCGTTCAGCCTTCAATCCAATTTTCATGCAACCCAGGGGCTTAGCATCTTATTACGAACCACTTTCCGATATCAACAATGAGTTTATTGAGCGGTAAGATATAGGAAATTTATCACGAAATCTATCTTACTATTAACCCCTTGCAGTATTAAAGAGATACGAGATGGAAAAACCTTGGAGGTACCTGAAAACTTTATGGAGGAAATCAGCCGCCTGATATTCGATTCCCTTGGCCTAGTGGCGTTTGATCGTCAAATGGGCTTAATCCGTAAAAATCGGGATAATGCCGATGCCTTACAGTTGTTTAAACTATCGAAAGAGGTTATCAGATATGTCTTTAAGTTGGATTTCCAACCGTCGATGTGGAGATATATCTCAACACCAGCCTATAGGAAAATGATGAAGATACTTGATGAGAGTTTGACTGTGGCCCAGAAAATGCTGAAGGAAACACAAGAGTCCTTGGAAATACGACGCAAGGCGGGAGAACAAATAAATAGCAATAGTATGCTGGAGCGGATGATGGAGGTGGATCCCAAAATGGCAATGGTCATGAGTTTGGACATTTTGTTTGCCGGTGTTGATGCCACAGCTAATCTGTTGTCAGCGGTGCTACTTGGCTTGGCTAAGAATCCGGAAAAACAAGGTAAACTGCGAGAGGAACTGCTGAAGATTATGCCTACAAAGGACACCCCTCTCAACGAGGAGACCATGAAGGATATGCCCTACCTGAGGGCAGTGATCAAAGAAGCCCTACGTTATTATCCCAATGGATTGGGTAACCTAAGAACTTGTCCTACGGATATTACCCTTTCGGGTTATAATGTTCCCAAGGGGAGCAATGTGGTCGTGGCATCTAATATTCTTTTTCAGGACAACAGCTATTTCCCACAAGCTGATAAATTCCTCCCAGAACGCTGGCTAAGGAATCCAGAAACTGGAAAGAAGACTCCCATCAGTGCCTTTACCTTTCTGCCTTTCAGCTTTGGACCTCGAATGTGTATTGGCAAGCGATTGGTGGACCTGGAAGTGGAGACAAGTGTTGCCAAGATAATAAGGAACTTCCAGGTGGAATTTAACTACGATGCCAGTCGCCCTTATAAGACGTTCTTCTTAATGGAACCAGCCATACCATTCCGCTTCAAATTCATCGATATCGATCATTGAATTGAAATTAATAACCCCTTTCTTGTGAAATACTGTAAATAAATAAACTTAACTTTAAGTACTTTAAGTAAGTTTTCCCATTAGATTAGATTTCCTTCAAATGCCCCACATATCAAATCTCCAGCACGCGACTGCTGTTATCATTTCAAAGGGGGAATAACCTCTCTTGAAATTGAATTTTAATTGCGAGAGACGAAACCAAAAGCCGAACAACATTTAAACGAGGCCCATGATGTTCTAGCCGTAACGGTTGCGTTTGGTGGGCATTTTTGGGCAGCTTTGGTCAGGTGTACAGCATCGACTCTGTGTGTGTTCTGGCCAATTTGGCCAATTGGTAAATGCAAATTTAATTAGCGGCTAATTTCAGGAAAATTGGCGTAAAATTGAAAATTGAACAGCAAATCAATGTGGCCATTTCTTTACAGCTTCCTATTTTCTCTAACTGTGCGTGAGGGTAGGCCTGTGTTTGGCTTGTAATGAAAATCGAAATTTCTGTTAAATTAACAGATTTCTCAGATAGTTTAAGATATTATTTTTATGTTTTTATTCATAAATATTATATTTAAAATATTGATGTAAATATCGAAACTTTTCCAAGCTTTTGAGTTGTTTTATTTTGCATTTGAAAACCTGTTGCTGACCACTTTGCTGATTTAGAATCTTTAAAAAAGCTTTTTCCAATATCTGAAAATCACTTTAGCAAACCTATCAAGCACTGTATCGCTTCTATTTACATTTCAACTGGTTTTTCAAGCTCTCACGCTCAGTTGTTTATATTTTTTGCTGAGTGGGCAGACAATTCATGGTGATTATACCTTTTTTTGATAAGAAACTGAGACTCATGATGGGTTTGCTAGCTTTTGTTTTGGTTTGAGAGCTTTTCTCTTTTCCTTCTCTGTTTCAATGTTGCTGAGATAAGAATTGTCTATAAAAACGCATTCAAAAGTGAACAGGTTTTTAGTAGCAGTTCAGCAGGAGAATGAATACATTGTACAGCGTGCGATCTGTGGCGATTACCATAGGCCCTGTGCGATCTCTGAGATCAGCCTCTGCCTTGGCACAATCCCAGGTGAATGTCAATGCAGTCTAGACTGGTTAATGATAGAGAATTGATAATTACTTTTCTTTATTTTAGATAGCTGATGAAATCAAGCCGCTCAATGAGATTCCACGGCCCAATAAGTTCAAATTCATGAGGGCTTTCATGCCTGGTGGGGAGTTCCAAGATGCCTCAATCACGGAGTATACTTCTACCATGAGAAAACGATATGGTGATATATATATCATGCCTGGTATGTTTGGCCGTAAGGATTGGGTCACCACTTTTAGTACCAAGGATATAGAGATGGTCTTCCGTAATGAGGGTATTTGGCCGCATCGCGATGGTCTGGATTCAATCGTATACTTTCGAACACACGTTAGACCAGATGTTTATGGTGAAGTTCAGGGTTTGGTAGCTAGGTAAGCTGGATTATTATTTCTTATTATTAAGTCTTTAACTAATAAGTTTTTGGTATATTTTAGCCAATCAGAAACCTGGGGAAAACTGCGTTCAGCCATTAATCCCATCTTCATGCAACCTCGGGGCTTAAGAATGTATTATGAACCTCTGTCTAATATCAATAATGAGTTTATAGAACGGTAAGAACAAGTTTTAATAAGTAATTTACCTAATTTATAGTTTTTATTCCTCCACAGCATTAAGGAGATTCGTGATCCCAAAACTCTAGAAGTTCCCGAGAATTTTACAGATGAAATTAACCGACTGATTTTTGAGTCTCTCGCCCTTGTGGCTTTCGACCGTCAAATGGGCTTGATCAGGAAAAATCGCGATAATCCAGATGCATTGACCCTTTTCCAGACCACAAGAGATATTTTCCGCTTGACATTCAAGCTGGACTTTCAGCCATCCATGTGGAAAATAATATCCACACCTACATACAGGAAAATGGAGAGAACCCTAAACGCCAGCTTGGATGTGGCTCAGAAGATATTGAAGGAAAATCAGGAGGCGTTGGAAAAGCGTCGAGCAGCTGGTGAAAAGATCAACAGTAACAGTATGTTGGAGAGATTGATGGAAATTGATCCGAAAGTGGCGGTGATTATGAGTTTGGACATTCTATTTGCCGGTGTGGATGCCTCTGCCACACTTCTTTCGGCTGTTTTACTCTGCCTGTCCAAACATCCAGAGAAGCAAGTGATGTTGCGAGAGGAGCTATTGAGGATAATGCCCACAAAGGATAGTCTGCTTAATGAGGAGACCATGAAGGATATGCCTTACTTAAGGGCTGTGATTAAGGAAACTCTGCGATATTATCCCAATGGTTTGGGTACCATGAGAACTTGCCAAAGCGATGTTATACTTTCGGGTTATAGGGTACCCAAGGGAACGACTGTCCTGTTGGGTTCTAATGTCCTCATGAAGGACAGTATCTTCTATCCGCGACCTGATGAGTTTATACCAGAGCGTTGGCTAAGGGATCCGGAGACGGGAAAGAAGATGCAGGTCAGTCCCTTTACCTTCCTACCCTTCGGCTTTGGACCCCGCATGTGCATTGGCAAGAGGGTGGTGGATCTGGAAATGGAGACCACGGTGGCCAAGTTGATTCGCAATTTCCATGTGGAGTTCAATAGGGATGCCAGCAGACCCTTTAAGACCATGTTTGTCATGGAGCCAGCCATTGACTTCCCCTTTAAGTTTACCGATGTTGAAAACTAAATTTTGCTTTTTTGCTTGTACAAAGTTCCTTATAGTTCTGTATTTTGTTTATAATAAATGATGGGTTGATAGACCACCTGCAGATAAGATAATTGCTGTTTACCTGTTGCATTTTGTTGGGCAATCCCGGGGGTTTTGATAAGTTAAGTGGTTGGTATAAAAGATAAGATTTGATTGGGTTGTGGTATCCCCTATCGGATTTTGTTTCTGTTTTGTTTTGTCTCTTAAAATGAGCTTGTGAGTTCTTAATTAAGAGAGTGCTTAAGAGGCACTATAAATTGTTGATAATTTATTATAATTGTTGTGGGAATTACTCTGAACATTGCTAGTTAATCTATTTGCTAGCTCATTGCTTAAATAGATTGCTTATTTATTGACTTAGCAGAAAGCTGATTCTACAGAGGAAGAAATTATGGATTTTATGATAATGAAATTATGTATTTAATATATTAATTAAGCCATTTAATGAGGAGTAATCTGTAAAGCTTAAAGCTATAAGGCTAAGCTGTTTATATTTATATTTTTAAATATTATATTTTCTGCAGTTAGTTTTGAGAACAACACACAGAAGAGTTTAAGAGTTCAGTTGCAGTTTAAGTTATCAGTTTTTTAATTCATAATTTTTAATTTCCATTAAATATTGCTAAGTCTACCTTAAGTTTGGTTTTCTTAACCAAAAAACAAAGTACAAATTGTGTTATTTTCTTATATCATTTATCTTATTTTCTCTTAAATGTTTTTCATTCAGGCACTCAAGTGGCACCCACAAAAGACACTTTTAGCTGGCTCTACTGCTAGCTGCTTTGGAGTTGGCAGCTTGGTAGCAGGCAGGTGAGAACGGGGCAGGTGAGAGAGGATGTCCTTTGCCATGGCGGAAATATTTCTAACGGCAAAATGGGTAAAATCAGGAGCAACAGCACCCAACATCAGGAGTGGCAGAAGCAAAAGGGGCAATAGCAGACATATTCGCCTGCGGCCGGCGGAGTTATGCTAACTGGCACTCAAAGCAAAGCGCGGCCAAAAGCTCAGGCGGTTTGCCCTTTGCCCTCCTGCCTCCTGTTGTTGTTCTCGTTGTTGTTGTTGTTGTTGCCACTTGGCAGTGGCAGCTTGTAACAATAATTTAAGCGATTTTGCGCTTTTTGCGAGTGGGTTAATGGCATGTCCGGGATCTGAGAGCTGGAAACTGGAAACTGGGAGCCTGAAAGCGGGTATCCTTTGCCGTGGCGAAAATTCCACTTCTGTAGCAAACGCACATAGCTTATGAATTCCGCAATCCTCGATGCGGTGCAGTAAAATGTTGCGGAGGAATGAGTTGCTATATAGGTCCTCTTCGACCAGTACAAAGTAAAAATGCAGAACATGTGTTTTTTTTGGTGAGAGAAAGAGAGAGAGAGAGCGAAAGAGTGACATGGAAAACCTGGCTTATAGAACGGCCAATGACTGGACCGGCTATATACATCTCGCTTTGTGTCTGCTGTATATTAAAATTCAATTTTAAAACACCCCATGCCACGCACAACCGGGCGTATGCGTAATGCGGCATGCAATCATTTGCGTGCGCCTTCGCTTGGAAATTCCTTTGCCATAACTAATCTCGAAGGCTAACCAAGGACCAGTCCTGACGTTTCATATTTCTAGCTCGCCGCACTGCCAACCCTTTCGTTCTACTCCTCTTTTTTTTTTTTATTTTATTTAATCTTTTTCTCCTTTCCTTTTATTTTTTTTTTTTGTGAAAAATTTCATACTCATCAAGTTGACAAAGAAAAAGTTTTTCATTATTACATTTCGCTGTCATTTGGGCGCAGAAATAGCTTGGAAAAGTTCTCAGAGACGCGCTGCCGGTTGAAACTCGAGTGCAGCGCGTAAATGAGCCACTCCCATTTTTGAGACGCCCGCCCGCAGCAGTGTCGGCAGCGCTCATCATCAGATTTCCAAGAGGAAAATGGTTTCGGAGTTGTGGGTTGAAGGTGGGTTGTTGAGAGGAAAACCGGGCCCATTGCGTAGCTTGACGTAATTTTCTTGGCCTGCCTGACGAGTCGCATCCTTGCACATTAATCCATTGGTTGGTGCTGCCTGGATCTCGGAACCCAGAACTCGCAACTGGGAACTCGGAACTGGGAACTTCGGGATCTCGGGCTCAGCAACGGTCTTTGGTCCTTGCTGCACGCAAATGAGGGTATGGTCAAATCACTCACTGTCAGACCGTGTCCCAAGGAATGCGTTCAGCATGTCCTTTAATTTTTTCTCCCCCTAAGACCAGTTTCTATTCCCCTTTTCCAGCACTTGGAAAAATAATAGAAAATTAATAGAAAAGTTTGACAAATGAAATGTAAAACTAAAACTTTTAAAAAGCAAGTCGAAAACTTTGTTTGGAACTTTTACGAATAACAATTTTTATCATTTAAAAATATATAAACTAATGGTAAAAAATATATTCGGAAAATAATGTAATTTTCTAATTTTTAAATAAAAATTTAAAAATATTTTTATGATGATTTTTATTAACTTTTTTAACTCTTAAACTTCCCCCAATTGATTAGCAATTTTGGTGACAATTTTCTCATTGTGCAGGTCCTAGCATTTTCTATAACTTGACGTTTGCCATTGTCCCCCTGCCGGCTTTCCTTCTACCACCGACCTCCACACCCCCTCGGCTCCTTTGTCCAGCTTGTACTTGTGTTGCTTCGCTTGCCGCTTTGCTGCCTGTCAGCGCAGCTTAAGATAAAAACTTTCCTTTCCACCCGAAAAAAGGGCGGGCAGCAACACCACACCAGTATCCGATGAAGGGGGTGTGGCAGTGGCAGTGGCAGGGGCTCTACAAAAAAAAAAACCCAAGCAGAATGGCTCGAAAGGGTTGACTCTGACATTTAGCTTTCGCATATTTGCACACACCCTGCCACCAACAATATATTTTATAGACTAAGGCGAAGACATGACAAATGCTCAAATAGAAATTCTTCAACAAGATTCTTGGCCGAAACTTAAGTTCATTTTTTGGTTGTGCACATCGCATTGCGGGGGGATGGGAAAGGGGGGGTGGTCTTTTTGTTAGAACAGCGTTACCAGAAAGAATTCAAATTAAAATGCGATTGCTCTCGGCTCACTCGATTTTCGTGTGCCTTCTTCTGACACGGCCTGTCAATGGTTTTTGCATTTCCCCTGCAAGTCTAGATTTTGATATCCTCCCCACTCACCCACTCTGTGTTTTTTAAAAGCATGGTTTTGATTTGAGAACTTGGCTATAATTCCTTTGCAAATTTGTTTGATTGGTGAAAGTATTTATTTTCCAAAAATTATTAAGATAACTTCTTTATCCTAAGATTTTGGAAATTTTATGACGAATGATTTTCAATTTTGCTTAAAAACTTCTTTAGGGTATTCATGTTTTATCATTTAATGAGAATTTATCAAACTTCTGACTTAGTCATAGTTTAAAATCATTTTCCTGAGTCATAATTCGAAACATATGACCATTTCAGCTGCCGCTCAGATGTTTTCCCGCTTTCCCTGCCTCCACTAGTCGAGAAATTTTCATTCATCAGGCGCAGCGCACACGCATTGCCGAATTTGCACCAACACCAACACCAGTGCATCGGTGTTTTCCTCAATTTTCCCACCCAAATTTCCACACCCACTCAACCGAATAGCCAAACATCCAAAAGCACCCAAAACACCCGCACAACTCACTCACCCATTCATATATTTTATGTTTTGTTTACATTGCCGGCTTGCTGGCTGCAGCCAAAACAACAACTGTTTTCTGACATCTGGGAGCAAAAGCGCTGGGAAAGCCTTGTGACGTCACTGGGGAAAATGCGTGCTATAAAAGCTGAAAGTATAAGAGAAAACTGTTATACGAGAAAAGAGAAAGATGTTAAAGGGAAGAACAGAAAGTATAAGCGATACGAGTGCGCAATTAAGGAAGGAACTCGCAATTTGGCTGCTCATTTTGGAGCATTTTGCGGTGAGTTGAAGTTTCCGCAAAATGGCTGAGAGAGTATATGTGTAGGAAAGAGAGGGTAACATAAAAATAGAGAGAGACAGGGAGAGAGCAAGTTCGCAACGTCATCGGCACAGCATCAACAAGCTTACTGGCTGCTGGGAATCGTCATTATATTGGAGATCATTATTTCCCATCGGCGAGGAGCGAGAAAAGTTTGTCGCAGAAACGAGTCAACGCTCGAGTACGTCGGTCATTGCGCTGTGTGTTGCACTTTGTCGGCTAAAACGCACACACACACACATACATATATATATATATATATATACACTACCACTTACACGTATAAAAGCTGGCAAGGACTCGGCTAACACGGATGTAACTCATACTTACAGACATTCGCGGCAAACGAAAGAGAAACAGAAACTATTGCATACCGCCAGGCGCACATGGCGCTTGCTGACTTGAATGGTGTGAGTGAGCCTTTGTGCTTTGTGTTTGTGATATGTAAAAGGGGTTTCAAGAAGGGTACTTTAAAAAATGTTTAGAAAATAATTAAAGAACCTGGAACTATGCAAATATTACCACCAAAAGATAAAGTGCTTCCTGTAAACTATTTCGTCTGGGTAAGTTCAGTTTATATATAGTTTTTGTAGGTTTTAAAATATTAGAACTTAAAGAAAGATCCCGTACAACATCTTAGCTAATAGCTAATATAGCTACAAATTAAATTTTGTTAACTTTCCAATAGAACTTACTACTTTTTAAACTTAAGAACGCTTTGCTCCTAGTTTAACCAACTTTTTCTTCTATTTTTGCCGGCTTGCCAACTGCTTTTGCTCTCTTAACGTCTCTCATGCGCTCTCTTTGGCCAACTCGCCTGCGCCAGAGCCAAGCAAAAAAAAAGGAAAAACAACAAGCCTTATAACCAGAAAAACAAACCGAAAAGAGCGCCAAGAGCGTAGTAAGCGGCGTAGTTCAAGTGCCGGTTGTACTACGCGGGGTCAAAGGGTAAAGGAGATGTGAGGAGGGGTATGAGAATGGGGGTGTTAAGGTGGCTGGCTGGTAAGCAGCTTCACCTGCAAAAATATTCCGATGGCGCGCCTTCTCATATCATTAAAATTCCATTTTGTCTGGTCCCGACTTTTGCAT